TATATATATATGTATGTATATATGAAGTTGTTGACTAATGCACAAAAAGGAAAGTTCTTTATTGGAATTTATAACATTTAAATAAAGAAAGGACTGCTTGACCTCAGTAATATTTATCGCCATTGAAGGTAGGAGGGTGTGTTTGTCGTGTTAGCAAAATATCACATGAATCACTGYACAAATTTTGAAAAATCTCATCAAGTTGRCACAGCTGAGCTGCCTTAACAAACAACATTTCTTGAAATTGGTTACATTTACTGCTAAAGTTCTGTGTGGTAGTAGCTTAGACTYATCCCGAACTTATACTCCAAGAAGAAATGTCTGTTAGCAAAATATCACACGAACTCGTGGGCTGATTTTATTGAAACGTAATCACTGGATGCACCTTTAAAAACTTATTAAACATTTGAAGTCTACCAATTCAAGATGGCCGCCACTGCTGACCAACCCTAAACATAAACAGTTATAATTTTTTCCAGTGGTCGGCACAGTTCCACTAAAGCACTAATTTCCTTATTAGTGCATTAGGGCTTTTGCTAGTTTTAAAATTTATTAGTGGATTAGCACTCGCTAAATTTATAGGTTAAATAGAAGCACTAACTGAGGTCTATAAATGTTATTGATCAACTTTAACAGCTGAGGGTTAAAGCTGTCATCACTATCCAACAGCTGGTGACATGAATTCAAAAAAYGCTGTTGAATGTCAATGATAAATGTTAAGAGAGCAACATGGCAATATTTTTGTTTGTTTATTTATCTCAATCATGAATTGAAATATGAGCATAAAACAGCAAGTCATTCAATACGAAAATATCCAATAATAAACAGATCTAATAAAAAATAGGGGAAAAAACAAGTTGTTCAGTAAAAAAATAATAAAGAAACGAAAACTAAAATAAACTGATGCATACAAAATCAAAATGTTACGGAAAGCAAAACTAAGTTAAAAAGTCATGAATGAAAAGGAGCAGAAAGAAGTATAAACTTATATCTGCCTCTACTCGCAAAATGAAACGTGACTCATGTTGTGTGTTGAAGAATGWTCATGGGTMGARTGGGTTATTTTAGTGCTTTAGAATTAGATTTTGCTAAAACTTTTAAGTGCATTAGTGCTTTAGAATTAGGGGACCTAAATATTTGAGTTAGTGTTTTAGGGCTGGTGGAACTAATTTTTAGATTAGTGCTGCCCACCACTGACTTTTTCAATTTGACAGATATTTAGCTAAAAATCAGTGTGGTAGTAGCTGGGAGTCATCCTCATCACACACTCTGAGCACWCACAAGTCTCGCGAGAGATTCCCCAAAATAAGAGTTTAAAACGCAGGAAAGCCGGCGGGGCGACATGCAGGATGCATTAACTTAAATTAAATTAAAAAGGTCTCTTTCTCTGTTTTAGTTCCTGTTTATTGGTGAAACATGAGGAGGAGGACCGGGAGTCTGGTTCGGAGACGTCCAGGCGTGGAGCTCACCTCAGGAGGAGGAGGAGGGACTTGTCCACATGTGGACACGGGAATAAACACTTGTCCTCTCAGCTGCGTGTCTCCGAGCCCGCAAGGGTCTGTCCGGGACCGGCTGGAAGACGTCCAGACACCAAGACTGAAGCACCACGAAGCTTTTAAGAGAAAAAGAATAAAAAAAACAAAATGTTGTGCAGCGCGAGCAGCAAGTCAGCGAGCCCCGGATCCAGAGAGCAGCGGGGGAAGGCGGCTCCAGACCCGGGAGACCCGGTCCAGAAACTCGGTGAGACCTTTTTATCCACTCATTTCTCGTCTTTAAGAAAGTAAAATCCTTTTAACTCAACAGAAACTTYTTAGCTGTTATGATTTCACCCGCCGCTGCTCCTAACATTTATGAGTTATAAAAATAATAAAATAATATTAAGCCTGGTCTGCTCGCGCTCAGCGGTGAGGATGACTCTCAGCTACTACCACTCTGAGTTTTAGACAGCTGACAGAGCTGTTTTTATGTTAGCTGTGGCGGCCATCTTTAATTGTATCAAATTAATCAGTCCCAAACTTACATTTGATGAATATCTCCTGAAAGTTTAGTTAATATCTGCCCAGTGCTTTGTCAGATATTTTGCTAACAAAGGCAAATTTGGATACTTTCACACCAAACTGATTTGTAGGCATTGTGTGTGTGTGTGTGTGTGTGTGTGTGTGTGTGTGTGTGTGTGTGTGTGTGTGTGTGTGTGTGTGTGT